CAAACCAACAAAAGAAATTGCAGAATAATGCTCATTAGTGACATACCTCGTGACGGATATTGTGAGATCCTAATGCGAAGTCATGACTTTCGGGGTCACTCGATTCGGATATGTGTATGTATACTCACTGATGACAATGGATGATGATCGCATTATATTACCAACTGATAGCAGTGAGAAATAGAGAAATATTGGATTTCAACTCAGTTACTGAATTGTGATGTGCTCAGCGCAAAACATTTACGGCCCTTGGATCGACACTTTATGGGATCGTGAGTGTAAACTACCCGGAAGTTGCATATAAAACAGCCATCCAGTACTCTCACTTCTTCAAAGGTTGTCTATATGATACCAGTTCGTAGTGAATACTTCCCTGAAATGAATCAGTCAATCAATCCCTACCAACCACTAACTGATAACCCAATAAGGTCACTGTATTTTACGAATCTATCACATATACTTCGATTGACATTCCCAAGGGGACACGATACATCAAAAAACTAATACTGTATCTAGATTTTTCCTCATCCCGTTTATCTGTACTGTCTGTGTATAGTCAAAAGAAGTGCTAGTGTTCATCATAGACTGACATCAGTTGGATAAACATTATGAAACTCGGAGCACTGGACACCCATTTCGTTCTAATATGGGACTCCTAAGCAGTGCAAACCCATGACCACGCCCTACCAGAGATCGAACCCACGACCATCAGGTTCTGCAGTCAACACGTTACCGTTGAGCCACTGAGATGGGATCGAATGGTCCATATTTCTTACTTCTGCCAGCTCATAATATAGTGCGACCTCCGTCCAGTGCCACTGTTGAGTAACCGTCCTCATGCTCAACTTGGTTAACCCTGCTGATCACCATCTCTCATTTGAACTTCGGGAATCACCTTTCAAAGCTTTCACCTGTGACCACTGGATTAATTCAATTTTCAGGACATCAGGAAAATTATTCAACGATGTCATTGGATTGAGGTCGGGCTTTACCGTAAACTCATAGAAATAGGAAATAAGGATTCTGACCCAATGGGTCGATGCTAGCATGCTGACCACAGATCTTGGAGACCCTGGGTTCGATCCCTGGAGAGCAGAGCCATGGGTGCGCATTGCTGAAGAGTCCCATGCTAGAACGAAACAGCTGTTCAGTGCTCCCAGGTTTCCAGTGTTTCTCCAATTGATGTCAGTCCATGACGAATAGCAGACTGAATTCAATAAATGAATCCCCCTAAACCTCAAAAACAGGTGTTAGTTAAAATTCCTCTCTTTTCATCTATGAAGCTCTACTTTTCACGTTTCTTTGACAAAAATTACTGCATGATTCTCTAACGCATAGTCGAAGGATACAAACACTTAGACATCATTTACACCCAAATGAAAAGTGACTGACGTGCTAGACAGCTTTTTCAATCATTCCAGAACGAGGGTAGCACTTCTGTATCTGAATTGATTACGTCGAATAGTATATTGCGCATTTATTATCAGTCTAAGTGAGCGCATTGAACAGTATGAGAAACAAAGAAATTGTTACTAACCCTTCCGCAGATTGTATATGTATGCATATATATATATATATATCTTGTCAATACCACTTGAACAATATTAACTTTAACGTACAACTTGTTTTGATTGAGACTGAATCTCTCGCTACCTGCAAAATTCTGTTGATGGTGCAGCTTAATAATTTTATATTACCCATTTGTGACAGATGCTTATCCTAATTGTGAAACCTGTGAATAACGCATTTTATCACATGCACACTTACAATCATAAAAGACTCAAGCTATTTTGCATCTTTCATTGCTGCATGAAACAGTAGCGTATCATTAAACATCTTAGTGAAATTAGTGTAAGGTGAGGTAAAAAGACTGATTTCTTCAAGAAAACAAATCACGAGAAAATTTCCAGATGATGAGAGAAGAAAGTTCAATGTTCTTCTATGGGACACTATAATCTCTAACAAAGGTGAATTTCTACTTCACTTCATATGGGAAACACCTTATTACTTGTGAATCAACAAGGTACCACTCCATTAGGCCATACGAAAATGAATCACAGGGACAAAGTTATTCATTACTAGTTGGTATTATCCAAGCACTTACTGTAGGTTTAACAATATTAGAAAGATATTTTGTTTCGCGCAAAAAAGTTTCAGCTGCATACATTCATAAGCCTTCTGAATGCTGAGCCTATCATTTTTAGTTAATTAAACTCATATTTTATATGGCAAACTCTGTAGTTTAATCCTAACCAATAGCAGTTCGAGCTTCATTCAAGTCTGAGTATTGTCAAAAATCTATCCGAATAATGTAATATGTATTCGGTACTGACATTACTAAGTACTTGATTGAATAAATCACCAAGCCAAAGGTTATTAATTTAACCTAAAACTAGTAGATAAGAGAGTGTTAACAAATGGTCTGTTACTGAATTAAGGGTACTTGATAAAAGTGTAGAAATTTCTGAACAGAATGGAATACTAGAGGAGTTTTATTAGAAGCAGAAAGTTCGAGGTTAAATATGATCTTTGTTCCAAGTATCTATTAACTACGTTGAATTAACATATACAGGTGACACTGACAATATTCAAACTAATCAAATGATTTTAGACTACAAAAGAAAAGTTGGTTACCCTCCAGTGACCAACTAGTGTGCACAATCCAGTCCTACAGGAGGTCAGTCGTGGCGCGAATAACTCAGCGTTAACGCATCTGACTGCGGCAATAGGTGACGCGGATTCGAATCTCAGACGGGATATCAATTCCGTTAAAGTCGCAAATATGTCGTACTAATGAGTCCGAGAGAGCACGAAACCCAGGTCTAAGGTTTCCTGCAGATTTTCTCTATCCAATTAATTAACCATTAGGACATGAAAGAAGAACAATTATCTCAGCGAAGAGTTTTTGTTCAAAGATGTCATTCTCAAAGCTGTCTAAAACAAAGAAATTGTTTCAAAGGCTAAAGATTAAGATCATGAAAGGAGAAGAGGTTAAATGATTTTCTTTTACATTTAGTACTCTAGTTTCTCTATATAGATGACAAGAGTTTCAGCGGTAGGGAGAATATGAAGATAAACGACCTTTAAAAGGTTTTCTTTCACTTTTAATGAGGAAGTTCTTGAGATAAACTGACCCGTGTTCAATTATAACACTTTATATCAGTCTTCTGTTACCTCTTTGAACCCTTTTGGATAACGATCTCATCAAACGGCTCATAGACCTGACCCCACAACAGCAGGTGAATTGATATCTGCACACAGAAGTGGTCAGATGCGAAAGTCTGTCCTCTACGTTGTTAGAAATCATTGGGTGACAGGAGAATACTAGCCTCAGGATTGATGCTAAGAATGTTATTCTTAGAGAGTTTGATATCCTGCCCTTCGAAATATCGTCAGTAGAATCTTCCTTGTAGTTTAGATTCACATAAAACATCTTTCATTGCACGGTTGAAGGGTTCTGTTTGTTAGGTTTTGCTTGATATTTTTGTTTATGAAGCCTACAGGGAATCTATTTCGAGTCATTTCTGTTACTTGTTCTTTTGTCATATTTCTAGCAATCAGGATTTATAGTCCAAAACATTTCTTATACAAACACATGTGCCAACAATACTATAGATTAGCTTTTGTCTATGATGCTGCACAACCAAATTACGGAAACCTGTTCTCTTCACATACAGTAAGATTACTCATTTTAAAGATATTGAAAAACACCTGATTAATTATTAACAACGATAGCAGTTTTTGAAAGTTTAACGACTGAACATACCATTCCAAGCTAGCTAGCTGCTAGGGCGTAATTGCCGAGTTTCAGATGTCAAAGTGTGTCCTTTCATCAGACAGTTTTGTTAAGAGTGTAAATCATTACAACCATAAACCATAGAATGACGTTTCGTCGAAAATCGCTGACTCCTCATTCTCTACGCAAGTAATAAACTAGACAGATATTGTACAATGAAAGGTTGATGATATTTTTTTGACATAGTAAATTTCAGATCAGTGTTTATGACGACCTTGCCTGCTTACATCATCTAACAGTGTTTCTTACAATTTTGTTAAGTTCTTACGGTTATTCATTGATTACCACGACTGATTGTCAAATTGATTGATGCCCAGTTTAAATTGTAAAGAGTCTTAAAGAATTCCTTTAAGGCTGAAAAAAGCCATTTTAGGTATATAAGAATAATGAGAAGTATAACGCGATGTCATCGACAAATTATTTCACAAAGAGTAAAAATTCCTGTACGGTAATCTACATTTCCACTTACTTTTAAGTTAGGAATGCGGTGTGTTTACCAGCCAATTTCGTCCGACTTCATTTTAGGAAACTGTATAAACACTTCATCTAATCTTCCAGTTATTAATTACTACTTGCTGATATGCTTGTAATTCTTTTTCTTAATACTGGATCAGATTGTTCGACCTCTATTGGTATATGGACTCCTATGAGGATCCCTCGATATTGCCTGAATGTCTATTGTGACAATTTACTTGGTTATGGCTAGCAGAGAAATCCAGGAGGCGCGTTTCATTCTGGTTGGTACTCGTCAGCTGGATGTACCTGCACCCCAGTGAGTGATGTTATTCCCACTGACACTCGAACCCCGTACCCACCGCTCCAAACGCCTAAGCGTAACCCACTAGGCCACTGAGGCGCGGTAGCCAACTTTTGCGCAACGGGTATTAGTTATTAACAAGTAAATTATCGTAATAAACATGCGGACAATATCGAGGTATCTGAATTGGTACTCATATCCTCATAGAGGTCGAACAATCCGATTCAGTAAAAAAACAAATAGTCTCAAACAGAATGAAACGCAGGCTCTGGATTCCTCTGCTATTCACAACCAAGCGAACTTCCAGCTATTTGTTTACATTTCATAAAATTAATTCACAGTAAGATAGAAACCATTCACCAAGAAGGTAAAGAGGAAAAGAATCAACTTTAGTCAGTTAAATAGTTGAAATCGAAAAAAACTAGCAGATGATGTAGTTTTACTTACCAATTCCTTATCATTACGTGTTGGATTAATCCACATCTTTTGACTAGACGACTCTGTTTTCACCCAATTATAAGCATTAAAAGTACAATTTTCATCCTTTTTGATAGTGCTATTGTTTCGCGTAACGTCAGTACTTGAACCGACTGTGTTTACTGTGGTGTTAGAAGACTGAAATCTTGTTGACATCACTGTTGTAGGCAATGGATGTTGATTTTTGTTAGAAATGTCATTAACTGAATGATGATAAGAGTTTTTGATGCCATGAGCCTTTGTGATATGATGACTTTTACTCTTTTTGTTAGGTTGAAATTCACTAGTAATGTCATTGGTGGTAGTAAATGTGGAGTTAATCTTCTTTGTGTTCACCGGAATAGAATGAGAATTGGTTATGTTCGTGTCATCTAACTTATTAGATCTTGTTGTAGATGATGCCTGGTGTTCCTTAGAAATCAATCTTGAAAGGGTTACAAATTGCGGTAGAATGAATTCGTTAGGTGCCTCAATATCTACAGATGAATCATTGTCTCCACTAATTGAAGTATTTACAGTGAAAAGAGAATTAAGAGTTCCGGAGGTTGGTGTTTTCATTATTTCATTAAAGGATGGATAAGAACTTGACGGTGGCCAATATGACTTCGATAATAATTTTTTTGGAATTTCTTTCGAAGTCTGACATGTTTCAGTAAATTTTATCAGTTTGTTTAGAGGGGCGCCTAAAAGTTTTATCTGTAGGAGGGAGGAATTGAAGGTTTCAATTGGTAAAAGATAATAAATCATAAGAAAAGATTCACCACCAAGGTCGAGCAAATAATAAAAAACCCAATTACCGTCACAATTAAATCACTGCTACTGATTTCGATAACCTTGAATCCGATTGTAAATCAGTTTTTGTATAAGAAATTCACCGAAGCGCCGAATATACTCAAGTGTGACATAGAATTATGTGACTTTAGTATGCTTAGCTCACAAAGAGGTAATAAAACGAGTTATCCCACTTTTTCTAAACACCTGGAATATTCATTGTAGATTCAATTGTGAAACGTTGATAAAAAAGGTGTTTGCTGAACAAAGTTGAAAAAAATGTTATTCACAGATGCAGTGTAACCTGTTTCCGACTCAGTTAGTTACTTAATAACTAAACTGCACGGTTTAATAAGTTACTGAATCCCGCTCATTTTTGATGAAATAGAAATGGAGCCCAGATAGCAAAAAGTTAAAATAGTACAGCAAGTATATTACAGTAAGCAGCTTTCAACATCCGGTGGCGACTTAGGCCGCATTTGACTGGGAAATCTTTTTATTTTCCCATAAGATTTTGTTTGTCTAGACCGAATAATCTACAGCACTACAACAAAAGGTTCTGAAGTCAATCTGCTTCGCATTTACATGCCCGAAAGTAACATACATCTAGTAATGTAAAGGGACACAGAAGGACTTATGGTTAGTTTACCGTTATATTACACCCCTCTACAAATTTTTATCGAATCTTGCTCCTCTCTCTAGATAGTCAGTGAACCAACTTATTCCGTTAAACTTTGTTTCTACAATTATTATTCTCTAAAGCAACGTGCTCAGAGGACACAATACAACTAAAACTGTCCACCTGAGTTCCAGATATTCTCCACCAGTTTTATTTATCTCTGAAGCAGAATTAGGTTTCCAACTTCAGGTCTTCAGTAAGAAAATAAGTAAATAAAATAAATAAGTAAAACTGCTCACGTAGGTTGTTGTGAAGGTGGGGACTAATCTATCTATCTTATTACACAGATGAAGTGTGAAATGAGAGAAAAAAGCGTAACACATGCCTAAAGGATCTCATATTCTAATAACTTATCAGTTAGTAATTCCGTAATTCAATCGGAAATTTATACTGGATGATGACTGAAGGTGAAATGAAAATTCGCAAAGAGAATGGATTCGAAGCCGTGACCCCCGGATTTCTGGCCAGATGCTTTACCAACTAAGCTACAAGGTCCGATTCCTCACCAGTTTTATTTCACTTCAGTAAGTAGACCATCGGGCCCTAAACCCGGTTGTCGCCAGCTCGAACCCGGCGACAGTCCAAGTTAATATTTCACCTTCAATCATCACCCAGTACATATACTACATTGTCAAACTACGGCAATCTCAGATACTAAAATGATAATAAATCAGAAATGACACGATTCTCACAATCACGATTTGAATCATTTATGAAAACTTGCCTGGTTAACTATTCCAATAGTTACTAACCGCTTCTAAGTCCCAATAAAGAGGGAAAGTTGGGCATACGGCTAGCAACCCTACCCCATAAAACCAATCCAACCATTAAACAAACTTCAAAGCACAAACAAAACATAAAAAACAGAAACAAAATTATTCCTCGCTGGAATCGGAGTGACGAAATGACGTCGGCTAGTGAGACACTTTGGGAAGCCAGTCGACCGATGTGTCTTCTCCCCCTCAATGAAAGCAAAAGTAAACATGGGCACGTGCGATGTCCGCAACATGTTTCAAACTAGCAAGGCTACCCAGATTGCAAAAGAGATGAAGAGGTATTGCATGGAAGTGCTAGGAACCTACAGGCAATCTGCAGATGGAATGGAAGTGGACTCTCCAAACTGTCGACTGAAGAGGAGTGAATAATCTACTCCGATATTGACACCTAAACGACAACCATGAGCACACTGAGTTTTCGAGTCATGATGCCCCCAAGAGCATCAAAGGCTCCCGTCCACTGTGAACCAATCACCTCCAGCATCAGGATCATAACAGCAAGGTTCAAATCAAAAGGAAGGAAAGTCACAATCATACAATGCTACGCTGTGCACCTACAAATAATGCAGATGAAGAGAAGGAGGAGGAATTCTGCAGACAACTACATTCAACACTCGACAAGACTCCACCCGAGTTGGCGACATCAAAATTCATTCTAATGGGTGACATGAATGCCAAACTGGGAGAGAACAACGTAGGAAGAGAACTCATCCATCATGGGTCAAGAAGCACTCGGTGAAATGATGAACGACAATCGAGAACTGTTTCCAGATTTCTGCGCACTCAACGATTCGCTGATTGGAGGCAGTGTGTACAAACACAAGGATATTCACAAAGCGAGCAACACGGATTTGATTTCACCAGGTGGACACACTACACTAAAAATCACATCGACTTCATCTCAATGTGAAGAAAGTGGAGACGCAGCCAGCCCACTGGACACAAGATCAGATGAAGAAGGGGAGCAGCTGTAGGTAGATTCACACCACTCACTATCTAGTGCAAGGGATCTACTTTCAAAATCAATTTGGAGGCCTTCACAGAAGCTTGTGATAGACGACCACAGTTCAAGTTGAACACGAAGAACAGAAACTGAACTGAAGGACAAAACTGCAAAGGGCATCTTCACGTCAGTCAGTCATCAGGACAAAATGGGAGACATCGAGCAACATCCCCAAAGAAACCTCCATGGAAGAACACTGGAACCCTTTGGAAGCGACGTGGGAGGAAACCTGCATAATCGTATTAGGAATGAAGGAAAAACAGGACAAGGAAGGGATGTCGACGGACACATGGAAGCTGATAGAGGAGGGAGAGGAAGATGGTGAAGCAGAAGATGAACCAGTGCAGTGCAGGGATGAACAACGAAAAGAGGAACTGAACACAACCTATAAAACACTTCACTGGAAAAGAAGTGAAGAAGAGTGCGCGCAAAGACGCAGATACTTCTACGACATTGGCAAGTGAAGCAGAACAGGCTGCTGGTAGGAGAGACAGAGAGAGACCTAACAACATTACATCAAATAACCAGCAACGGCAGAACTACCAGTGAGCACATGCCCTCCGACAAAAGCAGAAGTGAAGTCTTGAACGCCATAAAGTTGCTGAAATCCAGGAAAGCAGCAGGACCAGATGGAATCCCACCAGAAGCACTGAAAACAGATTCAGAGACAACAGCGGATATGCTCACACCACTATCGCAGAAGGCTTGCAAGAAGGAAGGGAAGGAACTCGGTGGATGTAAGAAGGGCTACCTTGTCAAACTCCCAAAGAAAAGAGACCTACGTCTTTGCAAGAACTGGCAAGGATTCATGCTCCTGCCCACCCCATGCAAAATATTAGGCCGCATCATCCTGGAGAGACTAAACAATGTCCGGATTCAAAATTACTACCTAAACAGGATGGCTGGCTTCAGGAAGAACAAATCATGTGCGGATCAAATTGCAACTCTACGCATCATCATAGAACAGAGCATAGAATGAATGGCAGTCAACTCTCTACCTCAACTTCATCGACTTTGAGAAGGCCTTCGACAGCGTCGACCGAGAAGCAATTTGTCAGGCAGTTACTTCAGCACTATGGTTTTAGTGCCACATATCTTTATCAACCTCATTCAACAGCTGTATGCTATATGATGAGGCCACATGCCAAGTGATCCACAATGGAAAGCTCAGTGACGCCTTTGAAGTGAAGACAGGAAGGAGTAAGACAAGGTTACCACCTACTAACACCGATGATTCTCCTGATTGTGGTCAACTGCACTGGACTGGATCATGCAACAAACTGTGAGGAGTGAGAGGATGGGCATACGCTGACTGGCTTGACCGATGAAAAAACCTAGAATAAGATTTGGATTTCACCAACGATGATGATTTATGTCTAATATCTTGTGGCACAAACTCAAAGATGTACAGGCGAAAACCAACAGGTTGACAGAAGAGGCGAGGCAGCGAAGACGGGACTTCCTTCAGGTGAACGTAGAGAAGACAGAGGTGATGAAGATACCCAACCAACAGCAACAAGCATCAATCATCATCAACGGGAGAAATCCAAACGGAGTTGTCTCTTTCACCTGCCTGCCTACTTAGGCAGCATCGTTTCAACTACAGGTGGCGCAAGCACAGATGAGGATGTCAAAGCCAGGATCGGAAAGACAGCAAGACAGGCCTTCCTGCAATTATCTGAAATCAGTACAGAGATCTACTGCACTCCACTCCACTCCACTCAGCATAAAGCGTGAACAAGATCTGGATTTTCAACACTAATGTCAGTCAAGTCAGTGCTTCTATATGGTTCAGAAACTTGGCGCGTCACGAAAAGCATTTCCAACAAACTACAGACATCATACATCAATAGCTGCCACCCACGCTCGCTCGATACTGAAGATCACATGGCCAGAATAATAAGAATAAGCGAGGAGGATTTCTGGGAACGAACCAACCAACAACCTATCACTTAACAAATATATAGAAGAAAGTGCAGATGGATTAGATCGGACATACACTGAGATTACCATTCGAGGACACCACGTTCCAGGCCAGGTCGTCGAGTGGAATGCCAATGGGAAATGACGAGTTGAGCGTCCTAGGTGAGGGTGACATGGAGGAGATGGTGTGAGGAAGAAATGAGAGCTTGTGGGCAGTCGTGGAGCCAGGTTGAAAAGACTGAAGAGAACAGAGTGGAATGGAGACGTGCTACTGAAGCTGTATGTTCCACTAGGAACCCAAGAGGCAATTAACAAATATAGACTGTCATATGCGGGCATTGTTACAGTCGATAGTTATTAGACAGTACATTTCAGCAAGATAAGCTGACGCTGCATCCACGAAGCAGGTAAGGTAGGAGTTTCTTTCAGTCTACTAACTTCCACACACATTTATGACCACTGAACATGTCCTCTGGGTTGTTGAATAGTGCGTATCTTTTTAATTTTCTTAAATGTGATGGAAATGTATCAAGAGTGAAATACCCCATGATGCCATGAAAGCACTTATGATGTTACTTCAGTCTATCGTATTGTACATCTTCAATAATCGATTTATTCATCATGACTGCCAGCTGAATGCAAGTGAAAGGTGTTTAAGCCTTAAGCAGTGTAAAATAAGAGCCACCCAAATGCCTTTTTTATACATGGGACTTATAGTGTTATTGCTTGTATTATACCGTCGTTGATTGGACCGAATTCATCAGTCTCCGTTGGCATATGGGCTCCTGTGCGGATGCCTCAATATCGCCTGTGTTTTAATTATGTATAGTAATGATGGGCAGTGACTAGCAGTGGAAAAGGCTTCCTGTCTATCATTACTATACATAATTAAAACACAGGCGATATTGAGGCATCCGCACAGGAGCCCATATGCCAACGGAGACTGATGAATTCGGTCCAATCAACGACGGTATACTACAAGCAATAACACTAAAACTATACTCACCGCACATAAATTAGCTAATGTGACTCGGTGGTATAGCGGATAACGCTCTCGCGTTTGAGGCGGTCGGTCCCAAGTCGGAATCCCGGTGGGAACAACATCACTCATCGGGAGGTAGGTACATCCAGTTATGGGGTCATAGTTATAGAAAAATACTTCCCTTTTTATCATCCACCAAAAGGAAACAAATCTGTTCATTCAACCAGTTTCATTCAAACCTTTCAAATCTTTACAACCAACCGTATCATGATGATAAAAAGAAAACTGATGTCAATCACAAGTTTCTTTTGATTATTTTCAGTCGTGATAATATCTAAAATATTTCGTACCAGATAGATAAACACTTTTGATATTCTCTCTGCTTTTTTGATTTTGTTAACAAAAGAAGGCGTTAACACTTTTATGGAACATGATTTTTTTAGATGGAACAATCTGTGAATATGAAATTTCATTGAAAGTTTGTGCTATTTATTGTGTTTCATTAAGAAAGTGATTGGAAATGAAAGTAAATTCTCAAAACGTTGCATTTCGGTGAATAACTGTATACCTTCCAAACGGATAACAGAATTCATTAACACTATTATTTTAAAATTAGGTTTGTTAACTCAGATACCAACTGTAAGAATGAATCATTCACTTTACAAAATCACCAGTTTTGCATTAATCTACATGTATACAAAGGCAGCAAACCCACATATTCACAAATACAGTCATATGCGTTGGATAAAGAGGTGAACGAGTTGGTTAGCTATGATGTTATTTGGATTCAAGTCCTAGTGGGAACATCGCAAATTATGAAGCAGGTAGATTTAACTGACAAGTCCTAAGTAGGACGAAACATGTGTCATGGATTCCCCTACTAGCCAGAGAGTGGAGAGTGGAATGGAGACGTGCTACTGAAGCTGTATGTTCCACTAGGAAACCAAGAACCAATTAATAATAATAATCTCAATTTAATCAAGAAAGTTGTGCTTTCAACTTCATCTTGTTCTGTTCTAGTTAGTATAATAATCTACAACATAATTCGCGATTAGCGGTTGTTGTACTCGCGTGTGAGGTGAATGAAAGCAGCTCTCAATTAATAATAAATAAACTTATGTTCCGCGCCGTTTTTTCTCACTCGCTTACATTATGACCGTATCGTCCACACCTTTAAGACCTTTAGCATTTACAATGAATTGCGTTAAATTGATTTTTAATCATAGTATGCTAGTAGAGCACGTCCATCTTTTTTCTGATTCCGCTTTAGAGACTTTCGGCGTTGTAGGATCATGTCCCCACATACAGACCCTATAGTAATAGTAGTTGATAGAACTTTTTGAAATTATCATCATTAGCAGCGATTACATTGTCAGTTCAAGAACAGAATAGTAGTAGTAAATAATCAAGAAAATTTAGAACACAAAGAAAACTATTTTTATTACCATTTATTCAGTGTTAAAGTTATGCAGCCCATCCACTCATAGATATCATAAGTAGTACTACCGACCGACTAAATATCAGGTTTTGTTCGCTATATGCTGTACGAGAAAAAACTTCCACAACAACACCAAGCAATGCAAATCAGTCTGGTGCAGACAAAATAATTTTTTAGTCTTTTATAAATACTTATGTTATGTAAACAATTGTGTATCTCTGACATGATTTCTTGATGATTACCAAAAGCATCTTTACATCAAACACTGATGTAGCATCAGCTGATAATATAAAAACCATCAACAAGTGATAAAAATTTAAAAATTCCTGAAACACTGAACACCACGTACCCATGGCCAACCAACAGCTTCAGCTAGAGCTGGAGTAGCATAAGCAATTCGCATTTCTTTTGAATCAATCAACATTCCGTACATTGAACGACTGTTCAAACCTAAGTTAAGTTGCATTTGTACTCCAAGATCTAAAATTTGTGAACGTAGGATAGATTAATAATTTTAACTTTTCATGGTTTCGGTGAGTCAAATAAAGTTAATAATGAGTGAATCGACATAGTTTGTTACCTATTTAATGCCAGCTAGTCAAGCAGTGTAGAAATATTTTCTGGTATGATCAAGTAGAGAAATCAACAATTCACCTACCACCTTTGTCACTTATAGGACGATAGATAGTATCTCAGTAAGAATCACTATCACATTCTGTAAAAGATATAAATCGTTAGAAACAGACTGCCTTAAATCAATTACGAACACTGTGGATCAAAAGAATATTATCTTGATAATAATGGAAAAAATCATTATTTTCCTATGCATTTTTCCAATACCTACCTCCAATACCCTTGACCTACATTAAGGGGATGGTTACGAACTTTCAACTTCCTTCTGAGATAATTGTCCTGTGAGATTCTCTAAGTCTTGTTCTGCAACTATCATTCTTAACCTTGAAGTAATAGTTGTTGTTGTTGTGGTAGTGTAATGAACTTCGTAAAGTCGAACTAAACAATAATCATGTTGTGATACTTCTCAGAATTCATAAAATATGCAAGATATTTTAATCGTCAGTTGCTGTTCAACTGTTGTTATAAAGGTCTGAAACTAAAATGTAAAATATTGATGAGTAATGAATCTAACTGCCGAATCATCACTACAAAGATTTTAAAAGCATGTTGTCCGCTGTATATCCTGTTTTGAAAATAAAGATTTATAGGCAAGATATTAGCTTAAAGGGATAAAATGTTTAATAACTTATTTACTACCTCTCAGAGAAATGCATAACATCACAAGAATCTTCTCTTCTCAGCGTTAAAATACTTTGGAAGAAATATGCACTGCTAGAAGTTTTTCGCCATAAAAGATACCTGCTAGAATGTACCTATCTGAGAGTTTATTGCATAAAAATGGTTCTGTCAAAGGTCATCTTAAATTATCATATCTGTGACTTACGTGGGGTGAAAATGAAATACGTTGATGCAAATTGGCATCTTCAGTGATAAAACTCTGTCAAAAATACACTGATTCAAATTTCAGTGCAAATACTTCAAAATAAATTGTGAATTATTTGAAAATACTTGAAATCTGCACGACAGATGAGGGAATGCGTCTCCGTGAAGGTAACCAGGTAACTTCAGGTCCAACGTCACAGTAAACTGATACATTTGTTTCTAATAGGTATGCTGTTAAATATTCAGCTAGACAGAAGGAGGTATTTAACAGGAACCCCTTTGCCTAGGTTTAACGCTTGCTGGCACTCGCCAGCAGGATGTATCTGCAACCTCGGAGAAACTGATGTCCCTGGAGAGAGTTGAACACACGTGACCCGGTGTTTCATTTAGAGACGTTATACTGAGCTATCTGAGCTGCGATTAACTTTCCATAGGATTGAATGAAGAACACTTATTAGTTACTAGAGAGTAACCAATTTTCATGTTATCTAGTTCTGAGTACTAACCGATGTCCGTCAATCGTTTTGTTGCAGATATGCCTTTCTGATGGCTGCCAAAGAGCATAAGACCTAGGCAGAGAACTTCCTGTCGATTATCCCCAGCCAACTAACACCAACCAAAGTGCACCCCGATTCTGAGTCTTGTAGCCTGGTGACCGAATTCTTATTCAATTTAATCACAGATGCTCTTAGGAGGTCTCTCTGCCATAATCTGGCTATACAGAGGTTGACTCGATCACAGGAGAATTTTCTGTGGACCTGAAACACACAGATGGTATAGTTTTTTCAGGTGGAAAAGCTGATAAGATCCAGGCACCTTGAGTGGCAATTTGAGAATGTTTAAGATGCGTTTCTAGCCACCTAAACGCAAATTGTTACTCCGGGACTGATCTTCAGGGGTATCCCAACCAGCAATAGAGTGAAGTGGTTGGGGGCGTTGAATACTTTACGTACCAGGGAAGTCGAATCAGACCTGCTGCGTTGGTCAGTGGCCGACGAAATCTCTGCACGGATACAAAAGTCTCGGTTGGCTTTTGCCAACTTACACCATCTTTGGCGCCGCTGTGATATCTGAGTGTCTATTGAGGGTCGAGTGTACTGTGCTGCGATTCGCTCTGTTCTATTGTATGGCTGTGAAACATGGACAATAAGGCTAGAAGATATGAGAAGTTCTCAGGTGTTTGACCACCATTACTTTCGTAGTATAGGCCATATTTCGTGGTGTCACCACGTGAGTAACGCAGAAGTCAGGCGTGGAGTTTTACGGAGGAGAGTAAAGACAGTTGGTGCGGTTGTGAACCCTCATCGAGTGAGATGGCTCAAACATGTGTTACGAATGCTTAACCATTGTATACCTTGTCGCACAATGTTGTCCGAAGTAGGTTCAGGCTGTAAAAAGGCTCGCGATGGACACGTTAAAACATGGTATCAATCCATGAACTTGACTGTTGGATTGAGCCATGTAGATCGATGCAGACTAGCCGGTTGGAGTCCACCGGACAAAATAAACCAGTGACTGGAGACTTTTGGTGATATGGTTCAGAACCGCTATCACTGGCAAAAATGTATGCACACATCGTCCTCATTTTAACCGATATACTTAATCTCATCATCTCATTCCTCCTTCCTTTCTTTTACTACTTTCTACTGACACTTCCCTTGACCGATTTTTCTCTCTTTCTTCATCTTCCATTCTATTGGCTTTTTGCTCGAGGTGCTGATATGAGGTGTGGCATCTTCGACCGTTACGCAGTAATGTCTGGTCCCATGTTGATCTTGATGATGATGACCAGATCGCGGAATGATAGAGAGGATTAGGTCAGCACTATGTCCAGACAGTATGAAATTGGTTACTCTCCAGCAACTAACCAGTTTACTATCGCAGGTGTTATCAAATAAAAACTTATTTAGGAACTTTCTACCATTTCGATGAAGTAATGATTGAATAAGGATAAGCTGGAAACTTTTGTTTGCAAATGTCGATAAATATTTATCCATTCATATTGATATTTCAATAATTCCTAAAATCTCTATCTTATACTAGTTAGGACAAGCAAAATATCCCCGTTTGTGACATGAAAAAGAAACATCCACAAAAGTGTATATACTATCCTATTCATCTTCAGAAATAGACGAGAAAAGGAAATACCTAACCATATCAATTTGATAGATGTTGTAGGTCTTATCAAACCACGGTGACGCATAGCAGTTACATGCCTTTGAAATAAGTAAAACTATCTTATTTACCTCATCAGTATGTCAATGTCAGCCAGTTTAATTGAGGTTTGAACAAGTGTGACCTTGATTTGCTCAACAATAGCTTGTGAGTTGGATTCAGAACTTGTCTGATAGCATATGTCATTCAGAATCATCTTTTGCTAGATCACTTACTTTCTGTTAGTTGCCAACAGCAACGTAATTTTTGAAAAATTGTAAGTTGTAACAATCTAGTGAAGACTAGGATTCTAGTAGAAACCAACCACTACATTCACCACCTGCGAAGGGGAAGTAATGCGTTCAACATATTTTAGGTTGATATGATGATGATTACGACTGAACACAAACTTAAGTCGTGACAAGATTCCAACCAGCAGCTATTACGCTACTTGTTCCATAATCTACTCTGAATGGATTAGGAGATCCAGTTGCTTATTGGGATTAAAGTGCAGAACAGTTACAAAGTGTATTGACTGGTCACTAGCGAGTAACCAGCTTCATGCTGATCGAATCCTATCGATCATTTTGCAATGTGGCCACCAGGCTAATTGACACAACATCACGATACACTTTAATAGATGTTAGTTGGATAGAGGGGATCGGCAGGAAGCTCTCGACGTAGGTTTCGTGCTTTTTGGTACTCGTCATCAAGGATTATCTGCAACCCCTACTGAACTGATGTCCCGCCTGAGATTCAAAGTCGATCGATAGAATTCGATCAGAACTTAGGACTAGACAACATGAATTTGGTTACTTTTCAGTGACCAATCAATGTGCCCAATACAGTCACAAAGGTCAGTCTTTGCCTGAATAGCTCAGTGGTAATATCTCTAACTGCAGCACTGGGTGACACGGGTTTGGATCTCAGGCGGGACATCAATTCCGTTGAGGTTGCAGATACGCCTTGCTGACTATGGCCAAAAAGCACGAAACCTTGGTCCTGGGCTTCCTACTGACTGCCTCTATGCAATTAACAGTTACAAAGTACTCTGAGAAGCTATCGGGTGCCTGCACAATGCCAGCTGCCTAGCTGTATTCTCTTGCCTTGATTAAACGTGAAAACTAATTAAGTGATTGCTTTTTAGACTGTTTGCGACAACTTTCCATGACAGACACTATTACAACTACGGTTTCACCTGCTCGTAAGTGAATCTAAGAACTGAAATTCGTTTACACATGTAAAATTTGTAACTTACATGAAGAAAGTTTATTAAGTAGGAACAGAGTATGTCCAGCAATACGAAGCACTCCAGTCTTTTCTAAATTAATGGCTGCAGATGTGCTTGAAGTTGTCGACGGTAGTGTCATTGTACTGGTTGACGTTGTCAGAGTTGTTATGATAGGGTTCGACGATGCTGCAGTAGAATTATAAAACTTCTTTTGTGAATTGCTTACTGTTCCCGATTGTAATTCATTATTTCTTGATGCAGATTGATTGATTCCAATGCTATAGTGAGATGTATCACATTTCAAGTGGATTAAACTTAATCCCAGTACGCGAGAAGATATTGGTAGGGCATTCTGCATTAACATTAAACTCTGACCTTCACGATTCCGTCTTATCTGTGCAGCTAGACGTGATCGTTCTTTTCGTTGATTTGCACGTCTCTCATTTAGTTCACCATTCTCTGTTCTTATTTGATGATTAGAAAATGATTCTGATAACAATGAAGGCATCAGTAGGTTCAATGTAGGTGGTTTATTTCGGCTTTTACGTTCTGTTCTCCTTTTCATAATATCTGTAAGTTGAAAAAGTAATTTTAAACAGTTGTAAGCATAAAACATATTTTTCAGTGTAAACGATCCGATTCCCAGTGCTTTAAAAATTAACATGAATAATTCAGGTCTTCACGCAATAACAAAGCAAAACAAAATGGCCTGTTAAATTATAATTCTTGGTAGATCGCGGTTAGGTAACCAACAATAAAATGATAGGTGCATATATATTAATTCCATTCTGAACCATTTCAACAGCCCTCATCCATCAATTCATTTTACATACAAAATGAAATCAATGATTCGATATATTTTCTTGATATGCTAATGACAAGAAACAAAGATGGCTCTATACTGAGAAGCATATATAAAAAACTAACGTCTGACGCACAGTATATGCACTTTCTCAGCTTCGTACCGATGAAATACAAACGTAACATAATCAGGTGCCTGGCTTTTAGAGTAGGATCGATTTGTTCCAAGAAGTGTATAGAAAAAGAAGTACTGTGTACCCGTGATATCCTAAGTGAAAATGCATATCCGGACAGGTTCGTCAAAACTAACATCAACTACATTGGTACTAAATGAAAACCGATGACAGTGAGGAGGAAGTCTTTGTTTCTATGCTTACAATTCAAGGGAGATTTTGCAAGTGACATTCTTTCACGAAGCCTAGCTAGAGCAGCCAATAGGATGTTTTATGCAGGTCAGCTTTGCATATCACTCAATAGTCAGCTAATGCTCAGTCCAAGACTAAAGGACAGCCTACCTAATCTTAGCTCTCCATCATGCACACATCCATTTAACTGTTCCTGTGGAACTAGTTACACAGAGTGTAGGATTAGACAGGTTCGTCTCCAGATACGAGAGCATTTACCAGCTCCGTTCGGAAAGGGAGAAGTGGAAGGGGTGAAAAGTTCAGTCCTAGAGCATCTAGTCGACACAGGGCATCACATAGATGCTAATAAAACTTTCAATGTCATTTATCGTGTTCCGAAAACGACACCACATGTAGCTCTCCAACCCCTACTCAACATAGTGGGGGCTGTTGCAATAAGATTGATCACACCTGAACTCTTCATTCAGAAAGAACATGTCCAAGCGTTACTTCTCTCTTGGCCTTCAGCAAACTAAGGACCACTCTTGCCATCTTATCCATCATCTTTTTGTTCCACCATCACATCATTCTTGTGTATATGTGTCACCACATTATTGACTAATTTAGAAAGATAAATCCATTTTCCTATGATCCCTAGATCTCACTCCATTTTGAAAATGTGCCTGCCCCCTAACACGACTTGTTTTTACACTGTACAAATGCATTTTATAACTGTAGGACCTGAAGAGAATTCATTGAAAAGAACACTTTTCTTTCCGACTATCGCTTCTAAATATAATGAAAGCTATTTACGAAGCATTAAAGCATTTGACAGTTTGAATAAGTAACCGCTTTTAATGCGAAAACGAAAGTGTGATCCACTGAACGTCAGCGTTAGATATTTAAAGTTAATTAACAGGAAGTTAAGTACCTGTTGTCATCGCTCCATAGGACCTGTCGTAAACCTTGAGGAGGTCCATATCCCCTCAAAGATTCATGGCCACGCTCATCAATTTTGAAGTTTCAAATTTTAATTCAAATTTTTATATACACTTATGAATCAAAAGAAAATGTGTAATGTTGATAAACAACGTTGTACGAGATCATACGACGATATCGACTTAGACCATGCAGAATTGTTCCAAATAATATAGCTTTATGTACTGCTGCTCACAGATAATGATGCAATACTGAAAAAGACCTGAATTTCTGCAGGTGAAATACTGTAGCATTTTTGAGATACTCTCTTGACACATTATTATATGAAACTCTGAGGCTAAAAGTAAACCTTAACTTTACCAGATGGTGAGAGAGGTCAGCCATTATAGTATTTTAACTACTGTGAGAGAATTTAGTGGTTAGTTGATGGTTGCTCTACGGAAGAAACCGATGAACTATCATCTGTACATTAGCTTGAATTTAGCGTGTAGAGTAATTTCTTTTCTAAAGGTCATGCATATTGACCATTCACTGGACGAAAACCAATGTCATCTTCTCTAGTCATGATGAATGACTGAAATCTCTCAACTCAGTTGTTGATTTGATCACCAAGCTAACTAATTGGACAGCCATACTAAATTGTATTTAAACCTTCAATACATTGTCAGTTTTCCTTCAGGTTGCAGTTGGATTTTGATAACCGGCTTCAACAGTCACTTTGTCTAACTTTAGGACTTTCAATCATTTAATATCTAATGTCTGTATACTAGATTACTTGGAAGTTTCATATTTTCTCCCTAATTCAATACATTCACCAACTTTTTGAATTCATTAGGTCTGAGTTCTGAGCTTTTGCATCAAAATATTCGTGGACCTTATTGGTTCTTTAATCATCTTTCTCTCTTTTGAGTACTAATCCCTTCTTTTTTTACTACTCTATGCTTTATGTGTAATTTGTTCATCTCCTTTCCACATACAGTAAAATTCGAGGTGAACAACCTGGTTTTAAACCATCTCCAATGAGAGACTTTAGAAGTATCCCTAGCAACTTCTGAATCAATCAATTAAGCTTCTTTATTTTCTCAATAACTACCTTTCTACACAGTGTAAAAAAACATGACTGTTTATTTCACTGGCCTTTACAGTTAGTCCCTCCGATAAGTTAATAGATTACTCATAACAGTGAGTGTTATATCTACTACCTGTAACCAGCATGAATCCCCACCGATAGCTGCTACCTTGACATGGTGGTCGGGCTTGCATATCCCAATGACCCAACGAGCTATGCTGGTGGAACGCTTGTTTCCTCGAGGTCCTGCCATACCAAAAAGGTCTGTTGGATAGTGGTTAGATGAAAAGCAGTTACCGTTGTAGTGTAAATTACTACACTATGATGGAGGTCTGAGGGCGAAGTCGTACTGCTGCTAGCTGCATGGGATGCGACAGTAGTATAGTGTTTCCCTTAGATAACCAGCAGTGCCATGCTGATGCTGCCTTCTCAGTGGAAGGGGGGTTTAGAAAACGTCGGCCCCAAAAATAACACACTCCACCATGCCCCAAGGTCTGCCAGGCCAGCAGTGTTGGTTCATTTGTCGTTTCCTTTCGACCATCCAGCACCAAAAATACAAAAATTCAAAATAATCATACCCAGAAGGTTACGTGTAACAGGTCTCAAGCAGATGTCCGATGGGCTCTGCGGTCACATAAATCTCTTTCAGGTACCTTAAGAAGAAATAGCCCTTCACGGTGTGGGCATCCGGGAAGTGTCAACCGCTCTCACAACTCGATCAGCACTCAAGTTCCCTCAGACTGCTACCCACCATCAATAGTTCCTTAAAATCCTCCAGACTGGAAAAAGAATCACTGTGCCATGTAAAAACCCATAGTCGTTTTTACAACATGCATCTGTACATCAAGTATATCTTACAGCTCAACTTAATCAAGGAAGGTCACACTGTCTTAGAAATTGAAAGCAGTTACAAAGTAACACCATAGTTTGAATAAGTTAGTCAGGCTACAAATGCATTTCCTCTGTTAATGAAAATCAGTAGGCCAACGGAAAGAAGCACAGTGCACTACAAGGTGAAACCACCCGATCTTGCTTGTATATTGTAACAGTAGATCGTCTGGCATCAAAAAACAATGATGACCAGATAATTTTATCGATTGTTATTCTATTACCGACTAAATTAAACGCAATTCACACACAGCTGACGGATTTCAAATATGATATATCTCTACGGTAAGTATATAGACACATGTGTGAGGACTCTTGAACAGTAACCTTAGGCTTCACCTGAGACGGTCACCCCGTTCTTCGAAAACAGAAAGAAGTGACAAAATGATAAAAGGTTTATTGTGAAGTCGAAAATGTACAAAAGGGTTTATATACATTTCCTGGTAAGTTGTACACTTTTCTAGAAAGTCCTTTGGCCAATTTGAGGCTCACACGTGTGCTCAAGTGATTTTTTGCGAACGTTTGGTATGCCAAGGTTGGCTGTGAAGGCTTTTCCAGGATTTCCAGGCTTCTTTGAGGAATCTAGAGGATATTGTCGCACTCCATAACAAGATATCATACCAGTGCATCGCAGTATATATTATCAAAATATATCTAATGAGACGTTGTCTTCCTGGGAGCATTTCGATTAGGCTGACTAATAGAAACGGTTCAGAATATGAATGCCAGCTTTGGATATAGTCAAAAATGTCCCATCATCGAACATAGGATACGTGGAGAACATCGACACTACGGTAGAATGCAATTACATACTACATTTATTGCATATAGCACTTATTGATACACTATTATATACTGGATGGCGTTTCGATCACAGTTTATCCCTCATATCCATATCAAGGTAGCTATTTAGCTTCCCACACCTAGTTTATACATTTCTGTCATTCCTTAGCTTCCTTAGTTATTGAGTTCTATGCGTATATCCGGAATGAGTGTAGCCTCATTTCCGTTGTGTGTCGGTTGCTGAGTTAACTGTGAGTAAGATCAGTTGTGCTCGAACCATCACTCAGTAAATAATAGTGTACCACTGTGAACTATATGAAATATCAAATAAATAAACCTATTGTGGAAATAACATGAAATGTTTACGGTATTTTACTTGTGTTTTCAGGATCGCTTTTTTCTAAAATAAGGTAGGTATAGAAATATTGATTGATATTTTGTTGTTGTCTTTGAGAAGAGTCAGGTGTTTGCACTTGTCTTGCGTATAAAGTAAAAGGAACACTATAGTTCATCCTGATATCCATATAAATTGTGAAATAATAATATATGTGACCAACACTTTATTTACAACAATACATTTTCATTTTCGACACTAAGAGGTAGCCGTACTTTTGGCAGACTAGTATTGTTACTAGGTGGTGATTGAAGATGAAATGAAAATTTGAACCAAGTTGAGATTCAAACCGGCGGCCACCCGGTTTCTGAACCAGTGCTCTATCAACTGAGCTACGAAGTCCGATTGCTGACCAGATGTTTGTTTCACTTCAATCACCATGGGTTCTGAGTGATTACCATGTGAATTCATGACGCCTTACTACCGCTTGATCGTACTCACACTGGCTGCCTAGTCAGGACTTCTCATCTCAATCCAAGCCTAACTGAATCAGAGAGGGGGAGCATCATACTGATTACCACTTTTAACCATCTGAGATATCTGTGGTTTTGGCAGACTAGTATTGTTACTGGGAAGTAGTTGAAGGTGAAATGAAAATTTGGAACGCGGTCGAATTTTTATTTCGCCTTCAATCTTCACACAATAACAATACAATTAACAATTAGTAGAAACAAACTCATGCTACATATGCCCCTACTCGTAGACACTAAGTTGGATACCACAGAAAATAAATTGTTCACCTCAGTGTTGTCCGTTTAACCAGCAGTACCAAAATATGCCGGTACATTATCCTCTTTAAAAACATAACGTTGACGAAAAGTGAACGTGAGAACATATCTGAAATCAGATTGTGATATTTTCCTAAATTACAAGAAAACATGTTCGTCTCTATCTATACTGTTCTACTTTTTTAATGTTTACAAGTTGTTGATAATATCCTTGATTAATGTCAACAGTATCTTCTTTCATGTTATCGATATATTTGGAAAGAATGTGAACAAACAGGAGAAAACTGATCAATTATACCATAAACATCCTCTCTGACTTGTTTTTTTTGATATATTTTTATATTTATGTCCATTATACTTCAATCATGGTATTTATCCGTCACTGCAATCATCAATGATAACTTTTGATGGTTATAATAGTAGTGGTATCTCCTGTTAAGTAAAAATGCTTTGCTCATCACTAACAACTTAGAAGAATTCCAACAAGACGCGTTATAAACATGAATTCTAAAGTAGTTCCCCTTCAAGTTTACTCACAATCAGATAAAGATTAAGAATCAATAAGAAGTGTTGGATATGTTCAGCTCTATGTTCCTAGAGTTATATAACAAAATGAAGAATGGTTGTGCGAAAAAGCTCTTTAAACGACTTTGTTAATTTAAATCAAATTAGAAAAATGGCCAACTAAAGTTAATAATTGACTCCCAACTGTATAAAAGATTTATTGATGGTGCTTTCATAACATGCGAAATGAATTATCCACCACATGCGTTCAACAGCTATCATTCGGAGATTAAGTTCAGTCTTGAAGTGGAAATTCAGTCCTCAGTCCTGTTTCTTGAAAAAGAAGACTGATAGATGAGGTCAATTTACAGAAAGTTTAAATCAAACGGCCAACTGACAAGCTGCTACAGTTGGATTTCTATAGGTTACGAAACAAATTTAACTGTATCTAGTGGGGGTTCCATCACCAAGCTTAGTGACATCCACTGCATCAACTTCATAATTAAACTTAGCTACATCTCTTGCAATGTGCAGGCAACGTATTTGGCACCCCAACACCCTGGAAAAATCCTGACTGACAATCGATATCAGCCTATTTGTATGGATAAGACATTAAGCCGAAGACTCAGAGAGATTTCTTCATCTGTGTGGCTACGCAAGAACTGAAATTTTAAATATCATTCAGCTGGTGACATTCTAAACAAAAGGGTCTCACACATCCTGGGAAGAATGTTTCGCGCAACAACATTCAGGGTTTTCATCAGTGGTTCACTATTTCCTGAAAAATTTGAAGACAAGAACGCAACTCTAAACATCTCTACGTGTGTAAACTAGCTTACATCCACCTTTGGAGACAAGTATATTGATTGGTGAGCGCCAATTTTGTCGGAGGTGACTCAAGAGAACTATCCTGCATGCTTGAGAACAGGTGATGACAGTTCCATTATGGATGGAGTAACTGAACATCTCGTCACTGCTCACACAATTTCCACCAGTAACATCTTTCAAACCTATCTACGGGGTGAAGAAGAGCTAGTCAGAGTTCGTACGTGTTCACCTTCTTTGCATCACTAAATTTCTGGCTATTTAAATAGAAATCATAGAGCTATGCATACAAAAAAAGTACTTGTTCTGCCTCTTCTAATTTCATTGTCTTAGTGTTTATTTCATCAAAGGACCACTCATTTTCCTCATTTCATTTTGCTTACTTCTCATATTGTGTGAACTCTAACCTGTTTCTCAGTTTTTCGGCTAGCAGTTCATTCTTTAAGTGTTTTATCGTGTTGTTCAACTCATTCTCAAAAACTAGTCATTTAATCCAACTTCTATTAAACTTTCAGTGACATTCATTAGCTTGAAAACGTTCGTTATCTTATACTAATGACAGGCTATCCTTTTAGTTGTCATATCCTCAAGAGGTGGCTATAGCGACTAGGTGGCTAAGTAGATAACACTGTGGAGTTTCAAACGATCATTCCCGGGTTCGAGTCTTAGTGGGAACAACACCCCTCACTGGAAAATAGGTTCATTCAGTTGACGAGTCTCAAATAGGACGGAAAGTGAGTCATGGATTTCTCTGCTTGGATTTAATTGGGATTGTATAGCTCTGAGAATGAACTCTACAAAAATAGCTTCTTCCTTGAACTACTCTACAAGTTTTTTATGATTTGATAAGAATCCTTCTTAAATTAAGAAAAGGGTAAAGGCCTTTCCTTTAGTTTAGCAATAAGCATACATGATATAAAATCTGAAGAATGCATAAATAACTGTATTTCTACTGATCTCCACCTATTCGTGGGGAATGAATTCATTACTCTCAGTTTGGCATACTGGATTAAATCTCAGTAGTATGCGCACACTGTTTAATTAATCAGGTAATCATTTGTGCAACAACTGTTAGGCTTGTTCAATTTTGAGGTTTGCGGGGATTTATTGGTTTCAGGTTGATATTCGCTTTGGAGGAAGATTGCAAACTAGTGAGCACTGGACAGCTGTTTCGTCCTAGTGTACAAACCCGTGACCCAACTCCACCAGGGGTCGGACTCACGACCTTCGTGTTCCATGGCAAGTACATTTCCACTGAGCCACTGAGTCGAAATCTAATGGTCCATGTTCCCTACTTCTCTCAGTTCATGATATAGCGTGACTTTCATCCAATGCCGTCGATTAGTGACTGCCTTCCGGCTCGATTTTGTTGGCTCCGTCAGTCACCATGTCTCGAAGCAGGAGAACAATTCAATTTAATTACTTAGTTTTGGGGCTAGTCAATAATCTTTTGTTCTTTGTTCACTTCAAGAGTACTTATATATATATATATATATATATATATATATATATATATATATATATATATATATATATATCAGCATACCATGAGCAGTGTGGAAGCATATGTTAGTTGGACATACACAACCAATTCATCTGAAATGCATTCAGTATTTTGACTGGTAATCTACTTTCATCACTCAATAACGATTTTACTTCACCCAAATAACAATCAAACTACATCCCTATGATATTTAACTGGTGGTTTGTGATGTCCGATAAACTGATTTAAGGATAGTATTCATCACAGAATGACATCAATTAAAGAGCCATTGAGAATCCTTGACCTATGATGGTAAGCAAGTTGGGTATTAGAATAAATACTCGTCAGTGGCACTAAACTGTAGTCGTGTTATATTGCGAATTGATAAAAGTAGGAATTTTAGACCACTGAGTTTCAACCTAGTGACCAAGTGGTAATGTGGTAGCTATGAGACTCCAGTTTCGTGGGTTCGACCCCTCTCTAAGTCACGTGCATATAGTACGGAGGAGTCTGGTACTATCATAAAATAAATACCCGTACCTGCGAATTTTCATTGGTTTTTCATTTGACGCTAATCCAAGACGAATCGTTTTGTGAAATTTCTATGATATTCTACAAACGCTACAAAAATCCTATTGATGCAGGAGCTAGTTTCAGAAATTATTAAGTGAGATTAGGGAGAACATCTTAGATGAAAGTAGATTTTCATACAAAAACTTGACAGTGATGTTTCAACTACCTTCAACCCCCCCCCCCATATATATATATATATATATATATATATATATATATATATATATAGTCAAGATTCGATAATCTGGATGATTCTGTCCTTGCAACCAGTGTTTGGATTCAGAAGTAAATTGTAATAATTAAATAAAAGAGTAATTTTCTGAAGCGATTGACAGCAGAAACCAGTGTGCATTTGATAAATGTTGGGAAATATGGATTGGTAAATAAATATTTGAAGTAATACTGGAACTTAGACCTAACAACTATGTTTACATAAAAATATGAATCACATTTTTCAAGTTAAAAAGCATAAGTTTCGAGTTCATCTACTGTATGGTGGTTATCAATGTACACTTAACGAGTATAATTTCTTAACTCTTTAGATCTTGACCTCCTTGTATTGCTTTATGACTATTTTTTGTGGGGAAATTATCCTCTTTGACATAGGGGATTTCATCAGCTGGATGTATGCAAACCCCAGTAAGTGCATTTGTTCCTACTGAGACTCGAACCTCGAACCCCTTAGAGTTATCTTTTGGCCGACTGGGGCATATTAGCTACCCCTTTTGCAACGAGTATCAGCCTTTTTTTTCCGAAAGTTGTAGTTTCTCACTGCTGTACAGTGCCGAATTGCTCGACCTCTATAGCTGTCGTGCCCCAATGGCCCGGTGAATAACATTCTTGCGTTTGAAGGAATAAGTACTGGGTTTGAGCCTCAGTGGGAACAACATAACTCACTGGGATGTAAGTACAGCGAGCCGACAAGTCCTAAATAGGACTAAAAGCACGTCTTGGATTCCACTGCTAGTCACCAAGATGAGCATGTCCCCTTTTATGTTTGTGCAATGTGCTTGGTTAACTAGTGATAGTAGCGCATCCAAATGGAGCCTCTTTTATATAACATCTAATTAAAGGTGTTGGTTATTTTGCCTTCAAGGCTGAATTTATATTATGTAACAATCGGGCGAGTGTATGACCTGTAGACTTGCGAAGAAATATCTACCTATTTATTTATTAAAGTATAATTTTTGGTATAATTCGTTAGTAAAACTAAACAAAAAAAGAACCACTTACTTGCACGACAGGATAATTGTACAGATCGTGTAATTTGACTTTTGTTTCCACGGAAATTCGTACATCGCAACTGTTTATTGCCATTACTATACTTATTGTTAATATCAGTGAAATTTGTCGACACATTTGAGTAAAGTGATGTATTCATGGGTATAACAGAATCAGACAGTGAATGAGGATTTAAAACTCTGTAGGATGAAGATGTTGAAGCAGGAGGGTGATTTACAAAATGAAGGTCATTTACAGTTTTCACTGGGTCAGGATTCGAATCAACTGGTGCATATTTCAGGCTAACAAAGGATAAAATGAAAAGAACACGTTAAAAGTGTGCAGTGAAACCATCTATAATGCAATAAGATTTCTTTCATTTTCTTTCTCTTTAGAAGAGTTTTACTCAAGCTTTTGGATAAGCTCCAAGTTTCAAGCCGGCTTTCAGATCCATAGACTTTCAAACACAAAATTAGTGGATCGGTCTCCTCATCAAACAATGCTACCAAATGAAAACGAACACTATTGTCAGAGCTCTCTGTTAACGCTGCCTCAAAATTGACCAGTGTAATTTGAGAACTTTCTCAAATGTCAAGCCTCGATGCACCCACATTCGACGAATGATAGATTTGTCGACCGTACTCCCCTCCCAGTGGCAAATATGTGTGGGATGCATCTTACTTAGTCTGCATAATCTTGCAGATCAAAAGGCAACTGACCTTTTCAAAAAGACATTCTTTCAAAAGACCTGTCCATGGACTAGTAATCCTGAATGATTGAGAGTGGTGTCTTCTTTCGGGCTTTTAATACAGAGCCAAGGCTAGAGCAAACGACGTTCGACATTCCAGACCCACCTATGCGAGGCAAACCATACCCTTCTCTATGATCTACTTCGACAACGGTGGTTACCAGAACTGGGAAGTTGGATTCTCTTATCTTTCAGTTGCGCTGCTGCCAGTGCATTGGGCGGAGTCCTGATGGTAAGCTAGACCGTCCGTGCTTCAGAGACTCGCACTTCGTCAACCACGTTTACCTCTAAGTTAGCTCTGATGGCCGATTGGTCGATATCAAGCCGGGCCACGTGGACTCTCACCGTCGTGGTGCATATTGGCACAGCCAGTAATCACCTGTGCATACTCCATATCCGGTTTCCCAGGCCAGCAGCACAAACATCTACACCACCTAACCGTGCAATGCAGCGCTTCTTCATGTGGACGCCCTATCGTGTAACCTAGGCGGAGGCAATTAGGTACCAGAGTCGTAGCCAACACCTACCAAGTTGTATGGGAATGTGTGGACAGCTTGTTGTTATCTTTGGGATTGGTTCGGGCTAGAGGTAACTCCAGGACGCCGAGCGCACTATTCCGAAAGAAACATTGCAAATTAGTGGTCATTGTAAATCTTTTTCTTCTTCGTTATCTGAAGTTTACATCATCAACATGCTAAATAATAAGCCTATACAGTGTTACAGTAGTGAGTCTAGCTTCAACGACTTTGTGGGAAAACACATGTGCTGTGTGATAAGGATGAAAAGGATGATACCAAAACTTGAGTGAGGACTGCTCATGGAATACCGCCAACACATAATCATTCATCATTCCCGAGAAAGAAACTAAGTGCAAACCAATACAGAATCATAAATGTGTGCTTCTAATAAGTTTCATCATGTTACGGATACTTTCTCGAATTCTATGTGGTTCTTGATAACTATTCAGCTGTTCTTCATATCAGCTGAAAGTCTTTTGACGGGTAGTAGGCATCAAACTCAAAATTTTTGTAGTTTCAGCAAATCTGAATAAGCTGTCACTTCAAATATTTTCATCCTATGGAAAATATTATGTGGAAATTAAATCTGCTAAGAGGTATTGGTTGAACGGACAGTGAGAAATCCTTACAAAACATTCAAGTCTATCTCTGTGTGAAAATCACTGTAAGATATTTGATGATCATGGGCTTACAAGCGTTTCTTTACTAAGAAGTCTTATGGAAATAAACCACTGTCGGTGTACAAAGTATTAGAATTTTCAGAGTATTAGTCCAGATATGATGTCGCTTGTATTATGCCGCCATTGATTGGACCGGATTGATCAAACTCTATTAGCATGTGTGCTCTTGTGTGGATGCCTAGGCCTTGTCTGTGTTTTATTTTGATATGAGTGTTAAATAGTGAATAGCAGCAGAATCCAGAACTCATATTGTATCCTATTCCGGACTCGTTAGCCGGGTGTACATCGTCCCAGTGATCTATAGTGTTCTCACCAAGACTTAAACCAGTGGCCGATCACCTTGAACGCCAGAGCGATATCTGCTAGGCCACCAAGTCACGATAGCCACTTCTCGCTCGATGGGTATGGTACTTGTATTATCCCGTTACTGATTGAACCGAATGGATGGGTCCCGAGTTCAGGTCCAAGTGGCTACAATATAACTCACTAGAGTCCAGGTACATCCAAGTGACCAAACGTGCGTTCTGGATTCCATGGTTAGCCACCATCCACCAATAAGCAAGTGACCACACTAGACGAGTTAATGAAAAGATGCAATTTTGTGAAAATGCTGGCTGAAGTCTAGAAACAGTATAACATGAACTAAGCAGAAAATCACTGCTCATTGAATGAAATTTAAAAAATTCACTAAGATGACATTAATAAGTCTGAATTAAGTCTTGCGATGATATTTAGCTACACATAACTTGACTAGTTTTAAGCTACCTTGTAGACATCTTATTTAAGGCTTCATTTAAATCAGCCTAGTGCAACAGTGATTCAGCATATTTAGAAAGTTTTACTACCAATTAAATCAAACAATGCAAAACAGTAGTACCCAGGAAATTTTACCGGAAGGTTAAGTTGTTATGATGATGAGTAATTAATTCTACTCGAAACCTAATCATCAAATACTGCTTCACTGTGCTATACGCATCAGAAAAGAACTATAATGAAATTTATCTTTTACATAAGTAAGTTTTAATGTAATCTCAGTGTATTTAGAAAATCAAAAGGAAGATTTTTCTGAACGTTTCGCTGTGTATGTCACAGCTTCTTCAGCAGAATATTCGGATTTTTACTCAATATCAAAATATATACTTTCAAGTAGTATATGTAGGAGTTTCTGCGTTTACGTCAATGGTTAGCTGGTCTGTTGTTCCCACTGATTTATTTCTAACTAGTCATCATAAATGCTTCCAGTCTCTGTCACTTGTCATCATAAACAATTCAATCATCAAAGAGTCTTTATGTATGTTTATAAATGTTCAGAAACGTTTAGAAATATCTTGTTTCTGATTTTTTTTAACGTTGGGGTCATATTAAAACTTACTCATAATTCAGTCTGACTCAGTGCTCAACTTCTTTCAGGACATTCGTAACAACTATAGTCGGAATGTTTATAAATTTATCTTTTGTTTATTCAAACTAGTGGATATGAAAATGAATCAAGGTATAGTTGACACTAGGTGATTCTGGTGCAGAAACACATAACTTCACTTATTATTGAAGTAGCATCAGATAATGACTACAATCATGATAATAAAACTTTACTTAGTCAGAGGTTCTATTCAAAGTACTGTCCCCATAATTCTTGTGTAAAGTATAAATTTTAGCCATCCATCAAATCAAAACTAGCAGTCCACACTATTATCATTGTTATTGATTCGTAAACATTTACTTCGACAATATTTGTTGATATACTTGTAATTCTCCATCATACTATTGGATCGAATTGTTCGACTTCTATTGGCATATGGGCTCTTATCCGGATGCCTCGATTTTTTCTAAATATTTATTATGATAATTTACTTGTTTGGGGGTAGCAAAGGAATCCAGGAGGCGCATTCTATCTTATTTAGGATTCATCACCTGGATAAACCTGAACACCAGTGAATGACTTTGTTCCTGCTGTCGGACACTTGTATTTTCCCGTCCCTATACAGGGGTGGTTGGCCGAATCTTTGACGGCAGATGGACTCCTTTGCGGATGCTTATATACTGCCGGAAATCCACAATGTTGGTTTCGATCCTGGGTGGGGACAAAACCACTCATTAGGGTTCAGGCATGTCCAGTTGACCAGTCCCAAATAGGACGAAACAAGCGTCTTGGATTTCTCTGCTAGCCACAACCGAATAAATGATTCACTTTGACATTGCTAGTATCTTACTTAATTACACGGTATCCCTATGACTATGATATGGTGAGGCGAAAAAGAACACTGAACAATATTATTGAAGCATAGTGACTACCAGTGGCTATCAGAATTCGCGTTTCATCACTATTTGAGACTCACCAGACCAATATATCTGGATCCCAGTGAGTGATGATGAAGTCATAAATCATATCAAGGCATCCATATACAGACCAATATTTTAGGAATGGTCAGTCAGCTCGAGGAACTCCGGGAACGAACCAACCAACAACCTATCACTTAACAAATATATAGAAGAAAGTGCAGATGGATTAGATCGGACATACACTGAGATTACCATTCGAGGACACCACGTTCCAGGCCAGGTCGTCGAGTGGAATGCCAATGGGAAATGACGAGTTGAGCGTCCTAGGTGAGGGTGACATGGAGGAGATGGTGTGAGGAAGAAATGAGAGCTTGTGGGCAGTCGTGGAGCCAGGTTGAAAAGACTGAAGAGAACAGAGTGGAATGGAGACGTGCTACTGAAGCTGTATGTTCCACTAGGAATCCAAGGATCAAATAATAATAAACAGTTCCATCCAAATTAATCAACAAGTCACTTTCAGAATACTCAGTCTTTCTTAGTAGTCTTAAGTGCATATTTAGTGTCATTGCAAAACACTCAGACTTGAGTATTAACCTATATTAACAACCTATAATGCAAATAGTATCCACTATATTAAATCTCATAATAAAAAGCTTGTCATTTTTCTACCGACTTAATTGTATTTTTTATTTGCTCTCCTTCACAAGTGAGAATAACTTGAGGAAATTAATATGATGAATTCACTACATTGCGCTATTCTATGAAAGCTAATGTAGTTGGGTATTTTTGAAAATTTAGCATACTTTGGAACGAAGAAATAAGACTGAGAGGAACTCAACATTTTAAGTCATTGGCCAATTGTATAGAAGTTTTTTACGGTAATACGGTTGATTGTGGCTAGTAGAAGAATCCAGGAAGCGCGTATGTCAATAAATAGTAAGAGGTGTTTTTGTTTCAGATTTTATGTTTATTTTTAGATAAAATAATCTTATTGGAAGACTGGGTATATGATGTAGCCAATAAGACCATTATTCAATCCTTGACCTGGGACGTTTTTATGTATAAGGGAATTATAT